AATAGGGTACATTGAAAAGATTCTCTGAATATTATTTTCTACAATATACTCATTATATATTTTGTTAATTAAGTAACAACGCACTATATGTGTGATTGTGAAGGTTGGAATTGTTTGTGCTGCGTTTTGTATGCTGTATTTTATTGACGCGGTAACCCATTTTGTGTTATGCATTCGGATGATATTAGATTTTTAAATTTCAGATATTTTATTGCTACAATAGTTTCAATAATATGAATCAATCAAAAATGTGAATATCAAGTTGAACTTTAGTTAAACTTTTACTAATTTCATTTCATTGTTCTGAAAAGGCGAAAAAGATTAATAATTTTCTTTTAATTATTATTCCAAGAACGACCCATAACTGTATAAAGAGTCTTTAATGAAAGTTTATTTAAGTCTCTTTGTAATTCTTCTTATCCGAATAGTGAACCTTTAATTGAAGTAAAAACAGGTATCATCTGGATAATTTTGTTTATTAAAAATACGCGCAGTGAATACAATTCTATATTTTTAATTTACACATAGTTTAATGAAATGTAAAAGATATTCGAAGAGTTACGAGGAGCTTCAATGGAGATACGAGAAAGAATGTTATATGTTTATACACTAGTTCTTTCCCCAGCATTTGTAGGTCAAAGGTCGTGTGCATTTGCTCTAGGGAAATGCACGGTGACGTTTTCGGGATGCATGGAACAAACGAAGCCTTCAAATGTGGACAAAGGAAACCAGAACATCCGCTGCTGAGCAGGAAGGAATTACGAGAAGACAGATAACGATAACTGCCAACTCAGTTGCTGAAATGATTTATCTCCACTATTATTATTTTTTATTGTTTGAAGTGTTTCGTTCTATTTGTATCCCTCGTTATCAAATGTATCTTCTTCCCGTCCATATCTGCTGTTAACTTTGTTGTAACTCTCCATTAGATGTCGCTTCAGTTAAATACAAGGCGGGGGGGAGCCGAGCAGGACAGGACGAGCGGGTGGTGAGAACTGTAGAGGAAGCAAGAAAGAGATACCGAGAAAGAACTGTACAAAGCCTGCCGGGTTCTGCAAGTTTATAATAAATTTTTAAAAAAACGTTATTTATCGTCAACGTAGGAAAAGGAATAATATTCTAAGGAGAATGAGAATATTGACTTAGCACATAGAAATGGGTAGTTTTTGCACCCTCAGACGTTAAAGCTATCGACAGCACTCGGATCTTCTGCGCAGGCGCAATTCAAGTTTCGTATCACTTTTGTGCATCTGCGCAAAAGATCGAGATTAGAATCGATTGCTGCCAACTAAGGCGTGCAAAAACTCCTTAATAGCTGTCGATTCCTTGAACTTTCGAGGATGCAAAATCATCCTAATATATGCAAGCTTCTGAAAGTGAACTATCTACATCGAAGTCCTTTCTTGACACACACATTCTTAATCCTGTTGAATGTAAGAGACCTCTCGGAGTGCCGAATTCATTACGTGAATCCTCGTCTTATTCCCTTTGGTAAGAAGTTTGTGCACGCTATAGCGGACCGCACTATCGATCTTCTACGCGTGCGCAGATGCACAAAAAATGGGTGCGAAACTTGAACTGTGCATGCCCAGATCGGTAATGCTTTAACGTACGAGGGTACACAAACTCCCTAACATCTGCAGAAAGCACTATAGATAACAAGGTCTCAGACACCCGTTTCAGATACCCTTATAAGCATTTAATCGAATCACTTCCATCTCGTCCAGCTCTCTTACCAAAATAATAACCTTTTGGGGGGAGGGGATTGGAGAAATATAGAGCAATGAAAACTATTAATTTGCATTATGAACAATAAAATTCCATTCTTTCCTTTTCGCAAGAATGAACTGTAACTCCTTATGTCCAATCATGCAAAATGCAACATTAAAAAATCACTATTTTTTTGAATAACTAATGACCACACCATTCCTGACTGGTACGTCCTTGGCTGTTTATCTGGATATTGTAGCTTGACACGAAATTCAAACAGAAAACACTCAAATTCTCAATTGAGATCGTAATTTTTAATTAATAAAATACAGAAAATACATCCAATCTATAATTGCATTTTGTAGATAGAACTTAATTTTCTATACAAATAACGCTCATAATCAACTCTTATCTATATTTACTCTTTTTCGGGAAACACGGGTCAAAAGAGATACCACCGATTTCTGCGGAAACGGATGCTTTTTAGATTAGGAAATAATTACCGGTTTCACGCATCTCAGAGATACTGAAATGAGGCGTATGTGACGGCACTAACAAGAGCTTGTCTCCGAATATTAAGTTTTTTAACACCCCTATTTACATCATGCTTCATTAAGTCGCAGGTGGTGTAATTGGGAACTAGCAAAATAATGTAAAATAAAAAGAGGAACAAATAAAAAAAGTTGAAAAAAGTTATACATTTTTCTGAGAAAGAAAAATTTTTCGATAAGATTTTTTCCATACGTTTGTTTCTACTTCAAGAAGGTAATTATATGAACTTCCACAGTACAAAATCGTTCCATGTCCTCAAACTGTTTATGCCACTTTAAAGCTCTTGACACGTTGATTTTAGTCACAAGAACTTCAAATTCAGAGCGGTATATCTGTTACGTATCCCAAATGTACGTATGTGGACCTCTTTGTCGGTTCCTTGATTTATTAGAGGTATGTGTTTTCGCGGCTGGCCCTCCCTTGACAGTCCGTGACCATAAACCTAGTCCGAAGAAAGACTTTTAAGCAGGGCTGCTGAAGTGGGCGGCCCACTGGGCATGCCCTGGCCCACCAGGTTGAGCCGGACGCTGTATGCACGCCACCGACATGGTCAGCAGCCAGGCTCGTTAAGTCAGCCCGACGGGAGGCGCCCGGCGGGAGGTTGTGATCGGTTCTAGTTTAGTAAAAGGCGAGTGGCACTCAGCGCCTCATCGCGGGCCGATGGACACCGATTCTTGCTCATGCTAATTACTATTGTTGCTTATGCTCTAGAGGGAAAGTGGCTCAGACCATCTTCCCTGTGGCACTGCAGTGCCTCTGAGCGAGAGGTCCTAGGGTTGGCGTCCCGACGGAGGCAGGATATTCGGCATGGGGTTGTGATTTCAGTCGCTGTCTGGAAGAGAGTTCTATTGGCCGGCTGTTTCGATCGGTGGTTTTCCGTAGTTTCTCCGATCAATACGAGGCGAATGCCGGAGCAGTACCCAAACTAACGGGTTACGGACCGCGAGCGATCTTTGCTACCTCTTCCTTGTCCTGTCCTCTTCTTACTAACACACTGTTATACTTACATGCAATACACTGTCACACATGGGGGGGGGACTAGTTGGGAGCTTAGAGCTGGTTCGGTGCCCCGCTGATGACAGGTACCTGGTTAGAGAATACACTCCAAACCGTGTTGGTCACGCTTGTTCTTGCGAAGGAAGATCACCGCCACATCCCGCAATACAAAATGCACTACACTTACGGGACTAATGACCTCTGTAGTTGACGCGCTCGGAATCAATCAACCGACTGCTTTGGCCGGCGGTTAGCGTGGTTTTCGGGATCAGTTCCAGGTGTACGCCTGAGCAGCACCCTGAAAAGCGGCTGACTAGCCGAGGATGCCCTTCCTTTCCCATCTCACACCCTGATGCCTGCCCATAGCATTTTAAGCGCCCCAAAAAACATGATCAAATTAAATCGAACTAGTGGTGGATAAAAGGGGCCCATAACATAATTTAAAGTTGTAATATCGAGCATTATATTGAACTAGTTAAGTATTTCTAGCTTCAATATTGAAGGTGGAGAACATGTTCGAAATACGAAAACTAATTATACTAATTCAGCACGTACTTTCTCGCCCGTGCTTTCACGCAAAATTACGAGAAAAGTACTACAAATTTTCGAAAAATTGTACATGACTTTATTTCAAAATCTATCTTATCTATCTTTAAGGAACAGATTTCATTACGGGAAAGAATATATCTTCATAATTGTAATTGTAGGAAGACGCTTGAACTCTTGTTTGAACTTTTGGATTATTCGAAAAATCAGGGTTTTCTACGCACATGAGACCTGTAGCATTCTCTTAAACGTACTTCACACTATTCAACAACCAATTGCAATAAAAAATCATGGAGCCATTTAAAAAAATGGAAATGTTCCAAGAGCTTCATGTAAAGTACCCCCCCCCCCAAAAAAAATATCGGTTTCAAATTCAAGGAGACGCGATATCAGCGAGATTCATTGAGGAATATCGATTTTGGAGAAATTTGGCTGAACGGTTTAGTCGCTAGCATTATTCACAGACGGACGAACGGACGGAAAGACGGACGTTTTGCCGTCATTCGATTTTTTTGATATCAAGAGCACACAAAACATGGATTCTCCATCTTGTGTTAAGAGGAAGTGATTAATATATAGTATATGAACAGGATTTATCCACTTCTTAGCTATCAGGGCCCGACAATAAGAGCTTTTTTGTGCCGAAAACTCTCCATTTTCAAGCGCACGATTACAACACATTCTCTTCTTAAGAAGTAAGTGTACGAGAAAGGGAAAAAATTAAAATCCAAAGTCATTTTCTCTTTACGTGTAAATTTTTTTTAGTTGGAACGTTTTCACTCAAACTTTTGCGAAAACTTCTTCATAGAAAATACTCACAAAATGAAAAGATCCTTTTTAAATTCTCAGAGACTCAAGTATTGCAAAATTCCCATTGGGAAATATTAAATTTGAAGAATGTTCTGTCTAGCATTTAGGCGCTAGGGTTATTCACAGACCTACAAGTACACGCCAAAAGAACGTTTTGAAACAACAAAACTCTTCTTCGGTATCCAGGAAGCCAGAAAAGGTTTATTTCCGACAAAATCTCGACGTCGAATAGCATAGAATTTTGCAACATTTCTGCGCCTTTTCTGTACCACCAAACGAACGGGCAAAAACTGTCACGTATTCCGTGCGTGAAAGGGCCCCATTAAAAGTGCAATGTCCAAGGATCGTCCATTCAAGACGGCAGGTAGACCGCAGGGCGCTCTCGGATGTATAGCACAACCACTGTCAGCGACCCAGCACTTCCGCTCGTGCTCGAAGGCCGCGATGGCGACGGTGGCGGTGGCGGTGGTAAGTTCCGCGGCGCGGGTGACGCCAGCAGCGCCGCCGCCGCCGCCGCCGCCGCCGCCTTCAGAGCTTACTCGTCGGAGGCGCGCGCGGCGCGGCCGCAGTCCGGTGAGATCACTGTCAGAGGCCGCACACGTGTAGAAGGCAGTTCTCCTCCGACGCCGGACCCACCGCACCATGCTGCTGCTCCTACCCGCGGTGGCCTCCACGCTCCTGCTCGCGCTGGCGCCCGCCGGCACGCACGGTACGTCGCCCGCTGCTCACTCAGACGCCGGCTCGGAAAGGCATGCGCGTTTCGAATAACGAGTTCATTCAGTAGGCTCTTTGATGCGTACTCCAACGCGTGCACACTCTTACTGAATTTTCCAAAATTAGAATTCGTTTTAGAATCTAGAAATTCGTATCCACAAAATTCCTCTGTAAGTAAATTTGCAGTAAAAGCGTAAATAATTAATAGGCGAATATACATACGTTCATTTCTGTCAGATTTCCTGACACACAAAATGAAAACAATTTCATTCTGGTAGAAATCAATCGAACTGGAAGTATTGTGGAATTTAGAAACAAATCATTTCAGTCCTACTTGTAAGAATACTCAGTTCTAAAGCATACATAACGCGTAGTGTTGCAGTTTTCACTGATGCATAATCATGATTTTATGAGTACCAGACCTGATTCTTTTATTCACAGGCTGAAACAATTATTTTCTAGATATCACGAATACAAATACGCAAAAGGTTGTCTTAATAGTAGCTGCCGTACAACATTAAAACACTTAAAGCACCAATAGTCCTTTTCTTCTTTCACAATTCGATGTAGAATCGTCTGGTAACTTGTTCGTGTAAAACTTCCTTTTAATTCTTAATAATAATAATAATAATAATAATAATAATAATAATAACCATTATAATAATAATAATCATAATAATAATAATAATTATTATTATTATTACTATAGATTCTTCAGCTACAATTTACCCCAATGTAATCATGACTATCACATAGCTTTTAAGAAAAATCAAATCTGATTTTGAATTTGCTGGTCTTGTTCATGAGATCTTTCTCTCTTCATGTCACATAGCAAGGTCCTAGTACGGTATTTCTGATGGGCGCTAGTGGATAAATATTTAAGTTGCTTTGGAATAATATAAATTAATATTTGACGATTCGATCATCATAATTGATAGTTTTGCAGAATTCAAGCAGAAGAATTCAAGTGAAGTATTACAGCTGCAAAAATGCGAACACAAATAATTCAGCAATAGCCAACAACAATAATAATAATAATAATAATAATAATAATAATAATAATAATAATAATAATAACAATATAAAATAATTAAAATTTCATTAATCCTCAGAGAGACCATCAATGGCATAGACTATCTCCCATTTTACGGAAGCACTACAAAAACAAACATAAATACATCGAAAATACAAAGCAAGGTTATGAGAAACATAGTAAGAGGTCCTTGCTTCATTCCCAATAACCAAATATACAAAGTAATTCAAATTTTTATAAGAGAAGTGCACATCACAAATCTAATCCCGCATTTCTTCTCTGCACTCCAATCATCCTTTTGTTTGCACATCTTTAAACTATCTTAACGTGGCGCTTCCGGCGGGTATTTTCACATGAAAGTGTTTTTTGGACTTTGCAATTTCATAGTAAAAATAAATTTTAAACACAGCGCAGTTTCCCAGCACCTCTATTTTCAGACATTGAAAGTTACTTGAATATGTATCAATAAAAATACTGTTTTAAATTTTCGTTTCATTACAAAATCACTTTAATTATTCTGATCAATCAATTTTAACGATTGATGTAAAAACTGGAAAGAGAATATAGTTGTTCATAGAGTGAATTTGCGCGTCCGCAACAAAAGCAAGTAGAAAGTATCCTAGATTTGATACCCGAAAGTGGCCTATTCACACCAGCTAAATATTTGGGTCGAACGATTTTATTACTTTACTGAGAATTCTAGAGCTGCTCTGATTAATCATTTACGTCTTTTCGTGGAGTTCTCTTATCAATTCCAAGGAGGTTTCTGGAAAAATAACAGAAACAAGGGACCACCCGAACGAGATCTCACCTTTCACATCCTACCCCTCCCCCCTTCTGCTTAGACGATATGTTGGTTCCTCTTGCCCATACAGCGCGGTCCCCTTGATCTTGACAAGCCCCAACAGTACTACGAAAAGGTTGTTGGGGTGCCTCAACCCATGAGCTGCAGCACCATCCAGACACAGAAGAAACAAAATGCCTCTATACCCTAGCAATTTTTCTCATTTTAGTCCACTTCCTGATCATTATCCAAAACCACAGGGCTGGGGTTTACCTCGAGGCTTGGTGTAAACCGTTTAGACAGCGTGGCTCTCGAACAGCTTCCTCCCACTCATGGCGGAGAAGCCTTGGCACGCGAAACACATCTATTCCTCGACTTACAAGTGAACTTCATTGACATATATATATTACTTGTACTGCATGCACTGGTTCCACATTCATATTCGATTTAGGTACACATACAATTTGTTCTCCCACGCGTATTGCTTGTCTAACTCTCATGAGCACGTCATTTTATTGCACAGCTAGGATTGTACCCTTATCTTGAGAATATATTACTTATTCGTCCTCTTATAGAATATTAATAAGTAAAATTGTGAAAATGTTCGAACTTATATAATTCTTTTCCAAATCTTACAGATGAAAGAGGAAAACTCTTTAAGAGAATTTTCAATTCGAAATTGTTTTCAATGTCCCATCTTTATGTCCAAAGGTAGTTATGCTGTTGTTTTCAACGAGTTCTGAAAGTTTCCTTTCAAGGGGGTAATATATTGTAATTGTCGCAGAGTGAACTGAAAAGTAATACATTTATAACCCAACAATTATTCTCAAAGCATCTCACTAATTTCAAGTAATTATTGTTTTAAGTGATTTTCAGAATGACTGAGAATAAAATTAAATTTACAAACTTGTAGTGTGGGTAGGGTCTCGAAGATGATCACTTTTCGCTAATAAACATGTGGTGGGAAGTATTAATCAATGACGTTACTCATATGTCATTTGCCTCTGATTAGCAAGCAACCCATCATGCACTGATTGTTGACTGCTACACGCTATAACGCAGTCATAAAGATTTGAATTTTAAAAAGACAGTAAGTCTTCATGCCAATATTACAAAAATTGAGAACTCAAGTTATTGTTGAATGTATAGGTTTATTTTCTTGGGGCTTTTTACAGCATCAGAGGATGCCGATTTCGACCATCCGCGCCGGGTACCCATTCTGTCCCTCACGGGGGCACATATTAATCTCTGCCCTAGACACACATGCGGGCTCCTCGGTCTGTGAGCAGAAGACTCTCAAGGCCTTCTGCGGCAACACATACATGAAAGACAAGGGACAAACAATCATCTCTGGCGGGACTCGAGCCCGAGACCCTTCCGACCGAGGCGCTGAGTCGACTTATCCTACTTCCATCCAGGCCGGCCATTGTACGAGTATGTTTAGTAATCAAGATAAATTTGTTGAATCGGAATAGACCTGAAGATGGGAGTGCAATAAGCCCCGAAACGTCGTTGAAAGAAATGGTGTATTTGACATGGACTAAAATATATAAAAAAACGTCTGTCTAAAAATTGTAAGGGACCTGTTCTAAGAGTAAAGACAAAAAAATTTCGACTACTTCGCGAACACCGATGGAAGAGCAGTTGCCTACCAGTCAAGGACGAATAACATCTGAGTAACATTGTTACGTGCTAGTAAAACCAATTGTTTATTGGCAAAAAATGATCTTCGACCTCCCTTCATTACCTCCAAGTTTCAAACTTATTCTGAGATACTCTGCATTTATTGTTTGTTATCATTGAGACTGTTTTCATTGAAATATTATTAATCACTTTACAAGACTCATTTTGATAGTTGAAAAAAAGATGCTTTTACGAACGATGATAAAAGTTTTATGTATGTAGTTAGAGCAGCGTGCGTTAATTGAAAGTAGATATTTCTAATATTTATGTTTTGCTTGCGACACTGCCACAATTGAGGTGATATGTTTTATTTCGAGTTCAGCAAACAGGAGTAATAATACTTCTCCAAAAACTCAAAAAATAGCTCTCATAGCATATGAATGTGACTTAAAGTTCTAAGAAACTACTGGATAGCATTAGTCCATGAAATATTTTCTGAAAGTGTATTCCAAACCACTGGAACTTTGATTCCACAGATAAAAGGATATTTTTCAAATTGCAAATTAAAAAATATTTGTATAACAAATTCTCTACAATTCTAATAAGAGCATTTGGAAACGAAAATACTGCTTGAGATTTTTTAAAAATGCTTTCTCAGAATTTCTCTCCACGTCTGAGACACGGCAACTTCAAACTTCTTTATTCTTCTTCGTGCCAATTATGGAGATAATAAACACTTTTTGAAACACGCACGTCAAGAAACATCCCTTTCGATTCTTCCACCGAGAAAATTACAATTTAAGCAGCTTTTTTCTATTTTATAAGGCGCAAAAAGTAAAGTCGATTAGTAATTTGCTTTGCAAGTTATCATTTCCTGAACGGACAGTACACGACAATTGTTCAGTTTTTCTTCATATTTGCCCAAAACTGTGTGTTTCAAAAGAAAACTTCCTTAGAAATGAACGAAAATGAAGAGAGATCGTTTTAATTGCTGCGAGTTCACATTAGAGTCAAGTTCATTAATGCCTTTTGCATCAATGCCAGTGCCGTAACGTTCAAGCCCGCAAGGCTCGCAATGCGGGCGGGCCCAGGTCAGAGAGGGACTACTTTTGGGCTGAAGGTTTTGTGATTGTCAATAATATTAATTACTTAATACTTTGCGATAGTCGATACAATAAAAGATTAAAAACATTATGTTTTCCCCTTCGGCAGCGTATGTAATCCGGTTTCTAATAAATCAATAAAAGTAAGAAATTCATTTAGGTTTTACATGTCTTAATTTGATAAAATTAAATAATGAAGACAGATTTTTCCACTGTGGGTTAAAAATCTTAGACTGATGAATTTTAATTATTAAGGACATTTTAATTATTTAAGATACTAACACTACTTATGTTTGCTATACACTTTTATAAAGGGCGCCCGGATAAAAGTTTTGCAGGCGGGCCCGCACTCATTTCGTTACGTTACTGATCAATTCCCTATGAGTTTTAGAAATAACGAGTAGCTGTGTTACATGACAGTTTGAAATAAGAAAAAGCATTTCAATTAAGAATACCAACTAAAGCTGTTCCTATTACGAAATATTATAAACATTGAAATATTTTCATAAATTTGTGGTTATCAGGTTTTGTTATAACTTGTTCATTGATTTACTTCACATTTCACTACTCTCGTACGCAACTTACGCTCACTAAAATTTTGCAGACGAACAGCAAACTTATGGAAATATGACTGAACACATCGGTTCGGGTTTGCTGTCACCATCTTCTAAACCACTAGGAAGAATGTACTCATTCTTCGGGTGACTGAGTGAACTTGGGGGCAAAAGGGAAATGCAGAGTCATTGCTCTCCGAATGGAATATTACCGCTGGTTTACAATCTCCGAATAGAATTTCTGTATTGCAAACTCTGACGACAACGCTGCTCAACGACGATTCAACGCTGCTCGACACCTGTAATATCCACAACACCCAATACAGATGGGTATTTTTTACACGTATCTCAAAAATTGCAACTTTCCAGGAGAGAGGAAAGACGTTAAGAAGTTTTCGTTACAAGCTAATAAAAATATGATATTTTAACAAATGTCCGGACAATTTGTGATATGTGTCGTTAGAAGATTATCTTATCTTTTGGGTGACTTTATTATCTCAAAGCTACCAAATTTTGAGATACTCATTGTTGAAATTTAGATTTCCAAATGAAACCTCGGCGCGTTACTCTTTGCTGATTCTATAGTACGTAGACTCAAAACATACCCCGATGACATTTCAGATATAAATGAAACAAAAATTTTGAACGGAAGGTTTCACACAAGTCTATTTATCATCATGTACTACTTTAAGTATGATAATTAAATTTGTTTTTGGCTTACTCAAGTCAGAGCTAGGAGGAAAAGTCATTAACAGAGCTAATCGGATCAACCTATCAAATTAAAACTTTGAACTTCCTGGTCGGCAAATCGATTCACGCATTTTTTTATTCAGAAGTGCAACATATTCCAGCACATTTATATGAAGTTGCCCATGAGATACAGTTTTCCTAGTATCCACGTTTACTTGTTTAAATTTGTTTCCATCTCTCAAACATTTATATTGATACAATTCGTAAAATTAGTACTGCTTATGAGCTTTTCATTGACTCCTAATATAGTACATTTTGTAACCAGTCTACAAAATGACTACAGAACTGACAAGTTGACTCTTATTATTCTCGAAATTATGATGAATGGATGATACTTTGCTTGAGTAAAAACTTCATCTAGGAAGCCTTCACGTTCTCAGATGAATATATCATCAAACGTGCAATTTTTTTTCTGTGCACCTTACTCTTTGCAACGTCTACTATTAGCCTCGCCCAGAGAACAGGTGTATCTCAATTATATGTGACGTCATCGTTGGTGATGTGAAAATTTTCACGGAAATTTCATTCGTATTCATGATATCATACCATCGATTAATGCTACAGAGGCCTGTCGATCACGCGTTACCGAATCCTCAGAAATAGACATTTCTTCCTATACCTAATATTTATAATATTGGTATATTCATTTAATGTATTTTAAAATATAATTCGAAAAGAGAAATATGTAAACATTGTGTTAATACGTATTAAGAAACAATGAAAACTATAAATCTTTAATTATCAATAACATACATTCGTAATCAGTTTGGAGTTAATTTCAAGGCATATTCACCATCATTACAACTTTATCATTACAACTTTATCATTACAACAGGCTTTATAATAAAAAAGATGATTCGTTCAGACGATTTGTTCTTTCATCATATCACTTGAAATTGAAATCATGGACTTATATCACGTTTGATTTGTTCTTTCTTAAATTTTAAAGTGAAACATTACAATAAGTGCAATTCGTACGTAATTAAGAAAAACCCTATAACTTAATTTACATGAGTAAATATTTAATGACACTAAATATACAAAGATTTTCATAAGATATGTATATTGAATACTAAAATGTCAGATTATTAGGAGAAATCACTCGTCAGATTGCCAACATATAAAGAAACCACTTAAGTTTACTTTTGTTTCAATTACCCCAGAGGCAATATCCATAAAGAGTTTTTCTTAAGAATTACAAATATTGATATTGATATCTACTTTCCCGAAATGGATGAAGCATCAATATGTTGGATTATA